AGAGGAACCCTCAGCTGCTCTTCGGCCCCGGCTGCGAGGAGCTATTTAATAAGGTCTACTTTAAGACTAGATTCTTCACTGAGATTTGTCTACCTAGATAGGCTGGCCTACTTTTCTTTCTTTCTTTGATTTATGTATTTCATTTGTTGTACCCTGGTTCTCAAAACTAATTAAGGATAAGGGCTGTCCCGAAAGTGGAGCTTCTCTTTAAACTGTTTCTTGTAAATTAGCGTCTCTTCTTTTACACCCCCTGTAGCCTAGGGCACCCCCCTAGCGTCATTTGCCCATATTGGGACTCTTCTAGGACCTAGCCCACGCGAGCTAGACTCCGCTTGACGTTAAATAGCAATAAAATAAAATAAAATAAAACCATCTTTGTAGTTCTGGTTCTACCCTCCTACTAATCCCTGTAAATGACGGCCTGTTGGGTCGTGTTAAGTGGAATTGCGATTTGCGGGGTTGAAAGCCGTACCCCGGGAATTACAACCCCATGAAACCTTCATTCGCTTAACTCAGAATCTTGCATTAGATTATTTAAATTGAAAAGGTATTTTAACAAAGTTATTTCTATTATAAAGACAAGGAAAATAATACTATCTATAGCTACTAGACCTATAGTCTATACACTTTCATTACGTAAATAGCGTCTCTAAAGAGGGGAGGTATTTTACAGTTTATATACAAATTAGTAGATAAAGTAGCGGTGTTTACGTTTGGCAGGATAAGCGAGTTAGGAATACGAACACTGAAATAGGAAAAGGGCGTTTTCTCTTTTGGTACCTCGAACAACTCAAAGGTGTGGGTTCAATATTCAATTAAGAACTACGTGGTCTGTAAATACATGTTCCTCCTCTACTCTTATACTAAATGTAGCATTTCCATTGCATTCGACACTGTTCCATAGTATTACCAATCTTCTGCGTCATAGCATTCTATCTTATTCCATGGCGTTCCAGAGGCGGGGTCGCTTAGCTTAGCGAGGGCTCTTGGCCCGAGCCCCACTATGGGTTCTAACCCTCACATTAAGCGACAAAGGCATGTGAGTACCATGCGCCTTCTTTTCAAAGAAGAACAACCCAGCGGAATGTAACTACGAGATTTACGATAAGGAAATGCTTGCAATTATACGATGCCTAGAGGAATGGGATGCTGAGCTCCGAGGGGTTAAGAAGTTTGAGATTCATACGGACCACAAGAACCTAGAGTACTTTATGACAGTGCGGAAACTCACAGAACGGCAAATGAGATGGTCCTTAATTCTCTCTCGATATAACTTTCGTATTATCCACGTTCCTGGAAGAGAAAACGAACGCGCGGACGCTCTATCACGACGGGACCAAGACATGCCACAGGACGGACTAGATCAGCGTTTAGCTGATCGGAATATAAGACTCTTGAAGCCAGAAATGCTTTCACCAAGTTATATAGCCCGTGCCTCACCAGTAACAATTCACCCTCTCCAAAGCCAAATAGTAGGGGAGTTACCAGACGAGCTTACGAACTGGGACCAGGCTCTTACGGACGACGTAGAGTATGTTCAAGCCAGAGAAGCTGTAAAAGCAGGTGCTAGAAGATTCCCGACAGAGCTTCACCTCAAGGTGTCTATCTCAGAATGCTCTTTATCTAACGAAGGCTATATGCTATTTCGTGGGAGGAAATGGGTTCCAAATAGTAATAATCTACGAACTCGTTTAATTCAGACAACTCATGATTCAGCACTACACGGACACCCTGGAAGGGAAGTTACGTACGCTCTCATTGCACGACTATTCTACTGGCCAGGAATGGCGAAGGATATTCGTGCCTTTGTCGAAAATTGTGATAGTTGCGGACGAAATAAAGCATGGCGAACCAGGCGACAAGGCTTCTTAAAACCACTACCTGTACCAGATCGTATATGGTCAGAGATCTCGATGGATTTTATTACGGACTTACCTGAATCAGAAGTCTGCTGTAACATGATTGTTATTACAGACCGATTAAGTAAAGGAGTTATTGCCGACGGGTTAGAAAATACCGAGGCAGAGACGGTAGCTAAGTGGTTTATACGACGATACCTACCACACCACTTCCTACCTATAGCAATTGTGTCAGATCGGGGTACACAGTTTACTAGTTTTCTCTGGAAACGAATGTGTGAGCTATTACGGATTAAAAGAAGACTATCTACTGCGTTCTCGCCAGAAACAGATGGGTCTACTGAGCGAGCGAATGAAGTCATTGAAACAGTACTACGCCATTTTGTAGACTGGGCTCAGAGTAACTGGCTTACGCAGCTTCCAATATTAGTATCCGCAATCTGCGGACGAGACTCAACATCTACAGGGACAAGCTCGTTCTTCTTGTCACACGGATGGAACCAGAGCTTATTTGAGAATCTAGCAGATGAGTTATCAGCAGAGGATAATAGGGACTCTCCAATTGCTACTGCGAATCGCATTGTACGGACGATGAAGGAAGCACGAGAATGGGCACAAGCGTCGATGGCCGCCGCTCAAGAAGCCCAAGAACAAGCAAGTAACCAGAAGCGTGATCAAGCACTTAGCTATAAGGTTGGGGACAAGGTATGGTTAAGCCTTGAAAACATTAAAACAAACAGACCAAGCAAGAAGCTAGACGCTAGGTATGCAAAGTTTAAGGTACTAGAAGTCATTGGATCGCATAGCTATAAGCTAGACACTCCCCCAGGTATACATAACGTCTTCCACACAAGACTCCTACGACCCGCCAACTCGTCACCACTACCTGGGCAAACTATCGAAGAGAGCCAGCCGCCTGCAGCGTTAATCGACAACACAGAGATGTACGACATAGAGTGTATACTAGACCAAAAGAAAGCTCCTGGCAGAGGTGATCGACTAAGGTATCTAGTTAAGTGGGAAGGTTACGGACACCCGACGTGGGAGCCAGAGTCATCTTTGGAAAACACTATTGCGCTGATCGAGTGGAAGGAGAAGATCAAGGCTAGAACGAGCGTCACTGAAAACAATATAAGGAAGAGATTGCATGTATGTAGTCTTCACGCACTTCTTAATTGAATATTCGAAACCACACCTTTGAGCTATTCGAGGTCTGGCCTCTCACAGTAACCTTAATTTGGGAGTTGTACCGAGACCTTAAAATGAGAAGTCAAAAGTCTGATTTTACTGATTTAATTAGTTGAATCTTGACTGATTTGGTAAATTGAAAACTGAAAGAATCAATGTGCATAATTTCTCAGAAGCTAGGTATGCCGCCCTGCATTGCTCGCTAGATAATTGAGAGGGGTATAGTGTCAATTTGCGTTTCACTGCGCTACCCAGTCTAGTCTCGAAGGACGTCAAGAATTTGCTTAGTAGTACATATGACCATCCCTGTGTCTCCATTTTCAATCTCCCACTACGTTGGGGTGAGCAAGTCCTCAACCCGTTCCAAGCCACCTTCACCTCCCACTCTTCCGTGAAAAACTCAGTAGTAGGAATAGTATAATTATACGACCCCGGCCACACAATCCCCGTCCGACTTGAGTAATTATAGATCATCGGGACCTGCCCTTCCGGCGTATTCAACTGTCGGAACTGATAGCTAATCCAAAGTGTCGCGTCCTCCGAGCGCGCGCGCCCGGGTTTCAACGTCGCTACAAGACTCCGCTCGTCGGTCGGCGTGATCTGATCGAGGATGTCGCATGGCCAGAACGTGTTCCCCTCGAGGGAGATCCAGTTACCGTTGGAGTCGCAATGGGCCTCGAATTTCGGGATGTGAGGGTCCCCGGGTGTGTCGGCGCCGGTGACGTTGAATGTGAAGATACAGGCGTCGCCGTATGGGAGGTTTGGATCAAATTTTCCCCACCAGTGGGTTATGTCCCACGGGTAAAAGTCACCTAGTGGTGGAAATGTTTCCTCTGGGGATGATTGGGCTACGACTAAGAGCTTTGATGAGAGGAGGGTTGCGATAGTGAGGATGTTGAGGAACATTTTGACAATTGAAGTAAGTGTACGAGATTCTTGACTTGGGAAGAGAGGAAGCTGGGGAGAGGAACGAAGCGCTGGGGAGAGGAAGGAAGAAGGAGTAGAAGAAGGTATAAATGAGAGTTTGGAATATTCTGCGTAGGAGAAAAGCATGACGTTATATAGAAGTGAGTATGCTACGAGATAATAATATACAAGGAGAAAGTGATTAGATATTAGAAGAAAAAAAGTATAGTTGACAGTTTCTTAGTATTAAAATAGGGTTAAGAAGCATATTTCAAGGTACACCCTTCACGGAAAATTAGATAATTTAGTGTGAGAAGGACACAGGACTATTCAGATGAACGACAATGCAAGCCAATTCGTTCGCCTAGCTACTAATATACTATACTATACTTGGCAATGAAAGTCAGATGAACCACGGCCAGGGCCACATTTCCAAATACCACAGACCTCTATCGAAAACAGATAATAATTATAAATATAGTAATAACATATCTACTATCCAGAATTCGACCAATTACAGTTATGATCGTATAAAGTGGGTGGACAGTTAAAGCTGGACGCCGTCACACAGATCATATGTGAGAAAAGTCTATCGCCCAGATCCGAATCTCTGATCCGCTGGTTAAGCTGAGAATCGGGCCTAAGTCGTAGTATCCCTTTCAGACAATATAGTTGCTATGTATTAATTACCTATGCTTGAGAATAGAGCAAATAAGCCTATTTTTACAATATACTCAAGTACTCCTGTAAAATCAAGTCGTTTAGCTAACTAGGCCGCTTTTCCAAGTATATGAACCTTAATTTAACCTAGTTATTTGTATCTACTTATATCTACTTTAACCACGGGTATTTATTATAACTATGTTAAGGATAGTATCTAGCCTAGCTATTCGTTTACCCTTTCTATATTCTAACCTTAGGAACTTTAATGTCACAAATCACGTGTTAGCACGTGAGAAGTGAAAACCAGGCGGCGTCCTGACAGGTCAGGCACTATTGAGCACTCTTATAGCAAATGGGATCGCTTGGGCTGTGTGTGTGTGTGTGTGTGTCTATTTAACGTCTAGGCGGGCACGTACGCAAGTCACGTGCCCTTCAGTCCCCGTTGGAGCAAAAGACGCCAGGGCGGGGAGGCCCCTGGCTTCCTGTCTAGCTAGCTAGATTATATAAGAGTTTAAAGGCTGTAGCGGGGTTTACATGTACGCTTTAGCTGTTGTTTTGTCCGCTTGAGGAAGTAAAACAGTAGTGCTGCCACCTCTTTGCAGCATGATCCTCCAGCCTGTGATCCTAGCCCCTGTTCGCCGCTGCCTCCGCCTCTGATAATGGAATAAAGTAAATGAGAGAATAGTAAAGAGAAGAGTAAAAGGAAACTAGTAGACTTTTGAAGGCTCCCTTATAAGGTAGGAGAGCTTTGTGTATGTGATATACACACTTCTTGGTAGAACTTGGAGTCTGTAAACCACTTTGCTAGTTTGATAGAGCCCTGGGTAGTTCCAAGTAGCCAAGGGATTGCGATTGATGGGCGTCCTTTGTGTAGCTTCT